CCGCGTCCGGGATGCCGCTGTTCGTAGAGGGGCGGCGAGTGCGGCTGCCGCAGTCCGCTGGGGACCTCGTCCGAGCTCACCCGCCTCTGGAGGTGAGCAGGGCCCGGCTAGGGGGCTTCGGGGCGGGCCCGCGGGGAACCTGCCAGGCAAACAAGAGCCTTCCTCACCCACCCACCTCCTCCCGCCCTTACCCGAGACAGACTTTAAACTTGGCGCAGCTGAGGTGCTTCGGGCACAACCGGAGCCCTGCCTGCCGACTTCTGTTGCGGGATCCGCGGAGCTTTTACTTTTTTTAGACTTCAGAGGGTATCCGCTCGGGCTTCTCCTTTACAGAGAAGGTGACAGGAGCCCAGAGAGGTTAGGTGACTTGTCCAAGGTCGCCCAGCGCCGCAGTTTGAAGACACCCCAGGACGCTCCCCATTCCTAGGTAGGGCGGCCCCTCCCCCAATCAAGACTTGGCCTGTTTAGGCAAGTCTGAGCACCCGCTCTGGCACTTGCTGAGAGTCCCCCCACCCTGTGCTGAACGTTGTATGGTGCTTGGGTTCTCAGGGACCTGGAGGTTACTCCAGGATGAGCTTAGGAGAGCCTTTGGGCCGGGGAATCCTGGCGAAGACCCCTAGTCCTCTCCTTTTACTCCCCTACCCTCGGGACTTAAGGCGCCTGGTTATTTTTAACCGGAAGAAAGGGCCCCGTTTTACCCCCGCTGGGCCATGGGACCACGCCCTGATGCGAAGGGTTTATTTTTCTATCCCCTGCTTTTGTCCTCAGATAGATTTCTGAAGTCTTTGTTCATGCATAACTCTTTGTTATGCAGAAATTGTTGGGATGGGGAGGTTTTAGCGTACAAGGGGGTCGGAGCAGACTTCCCACTTGCCCAGATGCAGTCAAAGGGTAATAATCAGTTAATTACTGAAGAGAAGCATTCCGATCCTCTACTATGTATGGGGCACAGTGCTAGTCACCGTTCCTGTTCTCGGGGTGTTTACAGTTTACTAGGGAAATGGTTTCTGGTCCAAGAATGGTTCAAATATCATAAACTGTTAAGTACCATAAAGAAAAAGTGCGTGTCTCCTTTCACGCTGAGATATGAAGCAGAGAAAACTGACCTAGTCTGTGGGGTTAGGGAAGGCATTCAAAGGTTTCCTCTGTATCACTTGCACAGTTTGTCATTATTCTGTTTGCCCACCTGCTTTGTTCTCCGTTTGATCTGTCCTCCAGAATATAAGCTTCCTAAAGGCAGACAGAGAGTATATATCTTCACCTTTGTATCCTTAGCACCTAGGGCAGTCCTTGGAATAGAATTTGTGCTGAGTAAATTGGTTGAATAAATGTATGAACAAAATTACTCTGAAAATGATGGGGAGGATGACAAGGACTTAGAGACAGTGGAGAGCTCTGCATGGTCCTCAACTTGCATTTCAGGACAGACAATGGTAGTATTAGCCAATAGTACTGGGCTGGGTGTGGTACTATGTCACTTTTCCTGTCACACTGTTAACTAGTGAAGTCAAGAGTAGGACTCAGCAAAAAAAAAAAAATTGCCACCCAGACAATTTAGGTGACTATACTTTCTATGTCTTGTTTGAAAGTTTCTGTGATAGAAAGTTAGATCCCGGCAGAAAGGCGAGGAATGTGGTAACCTACCAGGGTGGCTCCTCTCAGGGGAAGGTTTTGGGCTATTTTGGGAAGACTGGACCTGTGAAAGCAGTGTGGTGGGGACCAATTCATGTCACAGGAACACAAAGGAGGGGCTATCACTTTGATCTGGAGCAGTTGAAGGGAGAAAGGATGAAGACATGAGAGAGATTTGAACAGAAGCGCGAGGATGCTTTAGCTGAGTGAGCCTGGCTGGCAGGAGGGCGAAGGACCCTGTGGGCCAGTGGACTGGCCAGTATCCCTGGCCGGATGAAAGAGGAGGAACAGAAAGTAAATCCAAGGATTGTAGATTGGATCTGGATTACTGAGAGGCTTTGATGGACCTTTTACCTAATTAGCAGTGGGAAGAAATGAAAGGTTTAATTATTTTTGTATAACAAAGAGTGTCTCCTCTTTGTAGGAAAATAGAAATGTAAATATTAAAAGGAAGAAAAATAACCTCTGATCACAACCGTTCTTCACAATTTGGTGACTGTCCTAACAGGTTTTTCTTATACATAATTTACGTTTCAAAAATGATAGCATACTGCATATGGTTTTATGCTGTGTCTTTTTCATATAATAGTATATTGTTAAGTATGCAGTACCCTCCTGTCTGTAGCTATGACTAGCATATAACAAAAACAACAGTAGTAGTACAGTAGAACTGATCCAGTGCCACAGTAGTTGTTGCTGTCCCCACTTTACAGATGAGGACTGTGAAGCACAGAGGCTGAATAACTTGCCCATAGTCCTCCCATCCTGTAAGTGGTAAAGCCAGGCAGCCTGCCCTGGACCCTATGGCGGGACTAGGTATGTACCGTACGTGGATACTAACATTTAAATTAATTAAAATGAAATAAATGAAACCTAAAATCAGTACCTCAGTCGCACTAGCCATATTTCAAATGCCAAGCAGCCACATGCTCTGACCATATGAGATGGTGCAAATATAGACTATTGCCATCCCTGCGGAAAGTCCCTTTGGACAGTGGTATCTAGGGCCTTCTCTCTTAACCGGTCCCGGGATGCTCCATGATCAGTCCTGCAACATCTTTTTTTCAGTTTGTTTATTGTCTGATTGGTTTTTTCCAGCCTTCTCATAGAGTCCTGTGACATCCTGTCTGATGGTTTCATAGAATTCCACAATACAAATGCAGCATAATTTAGTTCCTGCTTTTAAATATAGACATTAGTGATGTTTCCCTAACATGCACATTCTAAGAGTGAAGACTTTTTAAACCTTTGTGTTATATATTAACTCTTTGTATTTGTTATTCCTACAAGTAAAATTGCTGAACTCGTTTTGGAGTAGAAAAGTGAAGTAACAAAATCAGTGTTTTGAAACAGTGATGCTAGCAACCATGGGGTAGGCTAGACTGGGCCAAGTGAGTCTCTGCAGGCTGGGAATGGAAGTGGCGATGGAAACAGCCATCATCAGGGGCCAGGTACAGCACAGCCCCACTGGCCTCCTGTCAGTTTATCCTCCTCACCCAGACTAATAAGGTGGTGCCATCATGCCCATTTACTGCAGGAGGAAGTGGAAGCACAGGGGGGCCAGCAGCATGCCCAGGGGCTTGCGCTGTAATTCTAGCACTTTGGGAGGTTGAGGCAAGTAGATTGCTTGAGCTCAGGAGTTCAAGACCAACCTGAGCAAGAGCAAGACCCCGTCTCTAAAAAGAGCTGGATGCTGGGCGGCACCCGTGGCTCAGTGAGTAGGGCGTCTGCTCCATATACCAAGGGTGGCGAGTTCAAACCCAGCCCCGGCCAAACTGCAACAAAAAAATAGCTGGGTGTTGTGGTGGGTACCTGTAGTCCCAGCTACTTGGGAGGCTAAGGCAAGAGAATTGCCTAAGCCCAGGAGTTGGAGGTTGCTTTGAGTTGTGTGATGCCACAGCACTCTACCAAGAGCAATAAAGTGAGACTCTGTCTTAAAAAAAAGAGCTAGATGCTGTTGTACCAGGCACCAGTATTCCCAACTACTTGGGAGGCTGAGGCAAGAGGATTGCTTAAGCCCAAGAGTTTTGAGATTGCTATGAGCTATGATATCAGGGCACTCTACCAAGGGCGACAGTGAGACTCTAGTCTCAAAAAGAAAAACGTATGTGTGTGTGTGTGTGTGTGTGTGTGTGTATAGCAGTAACTCAGATGGAGGACAAGGAAGGGCTGACCTAAGGTATGAGAATGGAAAAGAAGGCTCAGTTTTGAGAATGACACTTATTAATCTTTTTTTTTTTTTTTTTTTTTGCAGTTTTTGACTGGGGCTGGGTTTGAACCTGCCACCTCTGGCATATGGGGCTAGCACCCTACTCCTTTGCGCCACAGGCGCCATCCAACATTTTTGGTTCCCTGACTGGAAATCAAACCCAGTTAATAATTACTTTAACACCACTTGCGTGCTAGTTCACAAAGCACTTTCATACTCTCCCATTTATGAGGGAAGAGTTGACAAATACGGCAGCAGGGGTAAGAGATACACGATCATCCCTGAGGTGACAGCTATGTGGTTGGCTAAAACACGGGCCAATAAACGGCAGCCTGTGGGCCAAGCCCTGTTTGTGTACCGCCTATCAGCCAAGAACGGTTTTTACATTTATTTATTTATTTATTTTTAGAGACAAGGTCTTCTGGAGTGTAGTAGTGTGTTCATAGCTCACTGCAACTTCAAATGCTTAGGCTGAAGTGATCCTCCTGCCTCAAGTAAGTAGGCCTAAGTGACTAGTAACTAAGCCTCCTAATTAACTAGGACTACAGACACCCACCACCACCACACCTGGCTAATTAAACAATGTTTTTCATAGAGATGGGTGGTCTCACTATGTTGCCCAGACTGATCTCAAATTTCTGGACTCAGGCAATCCTCCTAGCTCAGCCTTCCAAGGAGCTGAGATTATAGGCATGAGACACTGCAGTTGGCTGTTTTTTGGTTTGTTTGTTTTTTTACAGAGTCTCACTTTGTCACCTTGGTAGACTGCTGTGGCATCACAGCTCACAGCAACCTCCAGCTCTTGGGCTTAGGCGATTCTCTTGCCTCAGCCTCCCGAGTAGCTGGGACTACAGGCGCCCACAACAGCTGGCTATTTTTTTTGTTGTTGCAGTTTGGCTGTGGCCGAGTTTGAACCCACCCACCCTCAGTATATGGGGCCAGTGCCCTACTCCCTGAGCCACAGGCACTGCCCTTCAGTTGGCTGTTTGTACACTTATAAAGGGTTAGAAAAAAAATCAAAAGAATAATATTTTATGACTTGAAATTCAGATTTTAATGTCAGCTATAACGTTTTATTGGAACACAGCCACATCTGTTTGTTTAGTTATTATCTGTGGCTCCTTGCATGCTACAAGAGCAGAGTTGAGCAGTTGGGACAGAGATCACTCAGCCTTGAAAAGTCCAGAATATTTACTGTCTGGCCCTTTTCAGAAAAAGTTTTCTTACACCTAGGTTAAAAGAATAGTGCCATTGAATAGGAATTAGAAAAGGAGGATGAGTGACTGAGGGGAAAGATATTTTTTAGTGAACATTAGTGTCCAAACTGGGGCTTCTTTTATTTTAGGACGTATTTGAGTTTATAAAGTAGGACTGTGTGTTTGTGAAAAGAGAAGTTTGGCTAAACTTTTTTTCATTTCTTAAACTGGAAGAGCAAAGCAGCATACTGTTTTAGTCTTCGTGGTATTATCTCTTCTGATAATTTTTGCTTTTATTTCTTTGGGAAATAGTAGGAGCTATGCTGAAGACAGATGTGATTCTTGGTCTTAATGAAAATGATAATTCAAAGGCATTCCTCACAAATAGCTTTGCTTGTGGGTGGTGACTCAATGGTAAAAATGAGTGGTAAAAAATTACTCTCCCTCACCTCCCCCAAGAACAAAGCAGAAGGTAAGTATTAAAGAAATAATGAGGGGATTCTGAATTCTCCCTTATGTTATTCTGAATTAAGGTGAGGCAAGAGGTGGTATGAAAATGAAAAGCTTTCACTGATAGCAAGGTGTTCAGAGTTTTAGAACAACCAGCCACATCTACTTCTCATAGACTTGTACTGCAAGTGAAGTTGTCTTGCCAATCTAATTTTACACTGCAGTTCACTTAATCCGTAGTTTGTTTCTTAATTTGAGGGGCTTGTCTCACTTTAATTATTATCTTGCTTCCACTTAATGAAAGTTTATTAAAAGAAGGCTCAGTGGCTCACACCTGTAATCCCAGCACTTGGGAGGCCGAGGTGGGTGGATTGCTGGAGTTCACAAGTTCAAGACCAGCCTGAGCCAGAACGAGACCTTGTCTCTAAAAATAGACGGGCATTGTGGCCAGGCTCCTGTAGTCTAAGCTACTCGGGAGGCTGAGAGAAGAATATCACTTGAGCCCAGGATTTAGAGGTTGCTGTGAGGTATGTGCCACTGCACTCTTTCAAAGGGAACAAAGTGAGACTCTGTCTCAGAAAAGAAGAAAACACCATATAACTAATCAAGCTGATTACTATTATTACAAGCTCTGTATTTTATTAAGCAAGCGCTAGCCTATGTTAGTTGAAGTCATGAGAAATGGCAGGAAGGTGATATAAGGTCAAGACCGTAAAACTCTTCTCCAGTGCAGACAATAAATACATACGCGTTCTTAGACATGTGCATAAGAACTGACTCACTGAGGACTTTATATGTTGCAAGTAAGAAGGAAATAATATGATACATTTCAGTATATCAATTTAACAATT